AGGATTCAGCTAACCCAAACAGTGAGTTAATTCGCGTTTTAATAATAGCTGTTCATTGTGTTTGTTGAAAAGTACCAGCAATCTGAGTACTCATTATCACTTAATATTTTGATATCCTCTTTAAAATGGATTATTAAGTCATTCATAGATTTACATCTCCTGGAATCAGATGTAATTATTGTAATCGATCAAATACTTTGACTATCTCTTTAAGAGGATGGGAAAGCAATTTAAATAAATATTAGGTGATAATAAGCAGACAAATGATTTCAGGTATGCCGCCAACTTATGAATCGCTGTATGGTGAATTTCGACAAGTTGAAGACCCAAGAGGATTAGCTCAGTTTCTAGCGAAAGCTTTTGCAGTGATTATTAGCACAAGTAAGAATTAATGAATGTTACTCTGTTTCTTCTTGATGTTACTCGAAACCTGAAGCACTGCAAAATGATCGATATTAACAGAGCTTCCTGAAATATATTCAAAGAAGACCTAATAAGTTGAAAAATGGAATTCGCAAATCTTGATCGAGGTTATATTACAACCGATATGCTGCACTGAATAACTGAACATTTTTTGTTCTTCGTTTTAAATTTTGAGTGTTAATATATTATGTTTTAAGTGATTAATTTCAGTGACAGCTGCGGTACTTCTGGCAGTATTGAATATCATTCCATTAGGAATGATAGTTCTTGGCAGTAATAACCTCTACTGCTGTCCCGTAGAACCTTACATACCTATCTGGCTTATTGTCACTGGTTTTTTTTCTCTGCTGAAGAGTGCAACAAATTTTTGTTATCGTGCTAAACGACAACGAGAAGGTCGTCCGCCTTCCGCAGCAGATGTCAATCCAAATCCCTTTGATGGTCTACTGTCATGTTTCTTACTCGTTTGGTTTATAATCGGTATCTACTTCTCATCTATTCATTTCAATATTTCAGTCAGCCACTACATTAAATAGCTAGTATTAGCTTAATGATTTTACGTCTTTCGGACGGTTGATGGTAGCAGCAGCGTTACTACTTTAAATTTTCAGGTGTCGTCATCATTCTGACACTTTGATAAAGGATCATATTTTCAATTAAATAAGTGTTTTGTATTTAAAAGAAACCATTTACATATAGATGTAGGTTCATTCCGGAAATATCCTGTCATTTCATCTTTCAGTTGGTATCCTATGATGAAAAATAATACAGTTTGGTAAACTAAACTGTATTTTCATTTTTCATTTTGAAATATACATTTAGGAAATCTTTTTCATATGTAAGGAAAGATAGAGTGCTTTCTAAAGAGACTTATCGCGAAAAAAGTGGAATTAGGAAAATACAGTTGAAAAAGAAATGAGAAGTAAAACTTTATTTGATAAATTCGGGCAGAAAGAAGCAACAAACAATTGGATTTTTAAACACTTTTAAAATTAATTCTGAGAATGACTGTGATTATTAGTTGATTTAGTTATAATTCAAGTTTTAAAAAGTCAAAAACTGATAGTTGAGCTGAGTTTATAAACTGTATTATTTTCATAATCAGTTGTGAATATGGATGATGATTCAGTAGCAGGATGTAAGTAATTCACACCCTTTTGTTTTTTTCGTTTTTCGTTTATGACATTCATATTCTAGGCTCAGTATGGGTGTATTCAGTGTACGATGATGTACAATATAGCAGTTCTCGGGATACTAATTATTGCGATCAATTCACTTATATATTTTCGTTCGTATTCGTAACCCTGGGTTATGTGCTTCTGGCCTGTACACTCTGTTGTTTCTGTTGTTGTTGTTGCTGCATTTGCTGTCGCCCTAAAAAACAGCATTCCGGTTCCGGCCGTGTTGTATAAATATTGTTATGAAAGTTATGGTGTAAGTCTGTAATATATTCTTACCAATCATTGTAGCTGGAAATTCGTGTAGTAACCATCATTTCGCAGTAAAATAATTGTTATAGACTGTGAGATTTCTTCACAGGGTAATATGTCACTTCCGGTCAATGATATTTGGTAAAAATTCGTATTAATTTTACGGATGACAGTGTTTGATTTTACATTCGGCTTCAGAAATGCATAATCGAAAAAGTATTAACTTGTTTATCCGCTTCAGATGCTTCTGTATTTGGAAACTGGATTTGACCGTCAGTAACATCTGTTGATTGTTGATTGTATAGATTGATAAACAGATCAAGAATCAATTCTTCGAATAAGCTTGATTGAAAAGTTTTTTGTATAGCATATATATCCCGTATATCCTTTTATGAATTCATATCAATACTTCAAATGATTTTGTACTTTAATTAAAACATTTTATTTTGCATCCAGCTGTTGCGTGATTTAGATTTCCGTAAATTAGTTATACTTTATGGCAAACAGTTTTTTGCTTAGAAAACTGAATTGTACCATTCCAATAGCACTTAGTTGATCTGTTTGAGTATTATCTTTTTCAGTGAAAGGTGATATGAAGAAATTATGCTATATTCATTGAGTGGTTAAAATCTACGCTTCTAAATTTCTCGGTTATTTATTTTGGTGACGTAATTTCTTGGTTATTTATTTGGGTGACGTGTTTCTAAGATAAGCAAGTACGTTAGTTGAGGGTCACTTTATTGTATACATATTTTGTTAGTATATGCAACTTTGCTGGAAATGCAAGTAAAGCAGTGCATATATATATTACCGTTGATGCCTTCAAACAAGTGTCACAGTTTTTCTTTTGAACATTCTGATTAGACTGGTTAGTAGCGTGCTGCTTTCTGTTTAATTTTGTCATTAATATCAATTTAATTATATTGCTTTGAATATCTCTCGGATATTCCTGCAAGCTAGGAGAATCCGGTGAGGAGGAGGAAAGTGTACAATATTGTATTGTTAGTAATTTAGTTTATGAACATGATTTCGTGGTAGTAAATGAGGCTTCAATTGTCAGTAAATCGAGTCTGCTAATTTCCACCTTCAGCAGTTCATATTATTTTGGGTGCTATTTAATGGAGTGGTAAAATGTGTAGCAATCAAGTAGTGATTTGTTTGGATTAAATTCGAAAATGTGGAGAGATTATTGCGCTTTGTATCATTTGAATTTCTTCCTTTCGATTCCGATTATATGATAAAGGAAATGTCGGTGAATGTGTATTTGTACGGATGGACCGTGCTACGTTCGGCGAGGCATCATTTTTTTCCTTCAATTTTCGTGATTTGTTAGTTTCGATGATTTTTGTTCCATTGTTTAAAGTTTTTTTTTTCAGAGATCCACATTATCACTCTTAAAAAGCACGCGTTATCATCATTCGTTCTGCCCACTACCTTTCCATTGAGTTTGCCTAAAAGAATATGGTGTGCTAAATGATTTGAAAGATATTTTCCGTTTCTTCCATCATTCACTTCATTTGTTAATAATATTTTTTAGATGATATGCAAAAAATCAGAAACTTGTAACAGAATAAGATAACACAAAGCATCTCTTTGCTATCACCAGTATCATTATTCTTTCCTAATCTTTTGTGAATTGCATGTAAAAAACTATCGTTGACATATAATAGTTAATTAACTTCAGTCGTTTGGTAAACTTTCTAATGCATATATTTCAGATTGTTTAAAGAATTCGTCTTAGAAGGCATGTTTTCAACAACATGAACGTAATTTGGAATCGCACACTTAGTGGTGTCAATGGCTCTATTCTTGAAGTTGGTATCTTTAGATTGGGAATTTATGTTTGATGAATAATGACTATCTCATTCAGAGAAGATGCCCATCACATGATATTTTGATATAGTAATGATAAAAATAAAGGATTCTAATAAATGATTTGTAGATAACAGAAGCAAATTTTATTTAGATAACGTGTCCAGCACTTAATGATCCATTCTGTGATCAGTTCTCATCTTTAAGATCTCTGTCAAATATGTCATCGAGACTGTTCGTTTTGATATTGTTAAAAGAACTAATTTTTTCATGTGTTATATAAATAATTTCATTAAAAATATCAAGCGAAAATAAAGAAATATATGAGGGGAGGAATATTTCTTGAATCGAGAAAAGATAAAAATTAAGGATACGAGAAGCTATCGCATTTATCCCGACATTTAAACCAACTTCGTGGTTGTAATGCTAACTTTTCTGTTATTTAAATAAACTGATTATTATTCTGTGAATGGTCATATATTGTGCACAGTTTATGTCGAATGTTGTTATTTATTTAACAAAGAGTATTTTTTGATGTGAATACTAATGTAATTTAAGCTAAAGTTTGCGGCATTATTCTAATTGCTACATTCAACAAAATATCATGTTAAATCGTACGTTAAAAGTTCAGGCGTACGCAGTGTGAATCATTCTTTACTGCTACTAAACAGGCCATTAGAATAAAACTGGGAGCTACTGCTAATTTTTATAGATAATTTTGAAAAAAAAGGAATCAAATGTAAATTAAGCGGGTTTGGAATGAATTAGTTTTATTGACTATTACATTTTTCATCAGCTGACATTATTTTTCATCTTTTTTCTTTTTTTGGAGACATAAGTGATACGTATTGGATATGAATGGATAATGTGATGTAATTATGTAGCATTTACATGTATTAAAATTTAATTTTTAGTTTAGTTATTTGTCATTCTTCTCATTGGAGGAAAAAAAAAAGCATCGTCTCATTGATAAATGTAACTTCCAAATAAAATATTATCAATTTTTTTTTTTTGGAAGAAAAAGGTTCAGATATTAAAAAATTTTCATTTCTCATTGTATACTTAACAAATATACGACAAGGCTTCTTTTTTTTTCATTTCCAACAAATTTAGTTGCATATTATGGATACGGTCGCTAAATGTCTAGAAATTTCTAGAACAATCAAGTTTCTAAAACAATCTGTTTCCTTTTATTATTCTATACCAATTTGTCTATTCCTTTTATTGATTTGTTTGTTTCATTTCCTCATGTTTGATGATTGGAAAAATGCTGTTGCTGAAAAGAATGATGGCATACTTTTCATCATTTATGCAAATTTTGTGCATGAGATTTCTACCATTTACGAGCTCATTTTCATTGTAACATTCGTTCCGACTGCTGTATTTCTGAGCAGTCCAGTTGCATTTGTGGTTTATTTTTGATAGTTAATTGAACGTTTAGAGTAATAAATTGTAATAAATTATTATCTAATCGTTTACGCATAGGATTTGTTTGGTGATTCTATCGTTATTCACACATAAATCAAAAATGTCATCTCCAAGTGCTGGTAAACGACGAATGGATACGGATGTGATAAAGTTGTAAGTTTATATTGTATAGTTTTCTAAAGAATTTTGTTTCCTCTTTGACAATTTTTTTATGAACATGTTAACGTGAATGTAATCATGTGAGAATAATAAATAAATTCCAAAATTATTAGATGATTAGATGAAGTAAAAAAGAGGAATCCGATAAAATAAGAGACGAAGAGGAGTTTATAATTCTTCCACATATCTTATAACTATTGAACCCAAAACTGACTGCTTTCCAAAAAATGTCACCTAATAATAACATATATCACATCAGGTAGATTAAAAGAATAAGACTTTTCATATTCCTTTTTTATAATTAGTATATGTCCCGTGTTGATAGAAAATTGAAATTGTAACCAAATATAAAGATTTTTTTATGAGAACTGCCGTTTTTCCCAAGATTTTTTTACGATGGGAACAGTGGGGAATGCTTCAAAACTTTTTTTTGCATTGCTTCTTTTGTTGTTTCGAAGTTTCTCGAACCGTTTACCCTTCTTTTTCGCTTACATGCTAAAAATTCAAAATAAGCATGAGAATAAGAGATTTACTCAAAATAGACATCCAAAAATATTGACTATATTCTGAATATTGTCTTTTGTATTGACTCCGAACATCTCCAACATTACATCATTTCAGGATCGAAAGTAAGCATGAAGTTACAATCACTGGCGGAATTAATGAATTTGCTGTGAAGTTTCATGGTCCAAAAGGGAGTAAGTCATTGTTCTTCTATTTACTGAGATATGTCATAGAATGTATAGGAGTATTTTCCTTGAGTTATCAAATCTTTCACATATATTAGAGTACAAAAGAGCTTGCGAGCACTCAAAGCAGGACACGGACTGTAGTGTATATGGAAAGGCTTATTATGCTAACCGCTTAATTCTCCTGCAGATTGCACTGGCAAGTATCATTATAGGCACAAATTTGTAAAAAATTAAATTTTGTTTCGAATTTTACCTCTTGCAGCAGCTTACGAAGGAGGGGTATGGCGTGTTCGCGTTGATTTGCCGGAAAAGTATCCCTTCAAGTCGCCATCTATTGGTTTCATGAACCGCATTTATCATCCAAATATCGATGAAGCATCGGGCACTGTTTGCCTTGATGTAATTAACCAAGCTTGGACTGCTCTATATGGTAATTCGTTATCCCTAGGTTATCTGAAAAGGTAGACGTGATCATTTTTTGAATGCGTAACTACTGAAGGTATGACTGTCATTTTAACACTTGTAGATCTCGCAAACATTTTCGAATCATTCTTGCCGCAGCTGCTAACGTATCCTAATCCAACAGATCCACTGAACGGTGATGCTGCTGCGCTATATCTGCATAAGCCCGAGGAATTCAAGAAAAAGTGCCGAGGTTCGTAGTCACAAATTGTCTTGACAGTAAAGTCAAGTATCTCGAAATATGAAATATGAACCCTTTCACAAGATAATTACTTTCGTGCATCGTATCAGGTTTGAAGCACCTTCTTTTCCATCTATTAACGGACTGAAGAGAGCTTTAAAAAATACATCAGAAGTTGGAAAAGACTGTTTATGTAAGTTCTTGCAATTACAGAATATGTGCTTAAATATGCTAGTGAGGAAGCTTTGAGGAGCTGTATCAATACAGAGGAAGTTAACAAGGAATCTCAGAGCTCGTCGAGTGAAGATGAATCGAGTTCCACTATTTCCGATTTTACGGAAGGTATATATTTTAATCGACAATACTAACATTTCCACTCTCTATTCGAACAAATCTGATGCAGTAAAATCTTGTATGTAAGAATGAAGTGCGTCATTCTAGTAATATTAAGCTTCGCATTTTATTTAACAAAGCTATTTACAGACGAAACACAGGGGATGGAACTATAGTCCGTTGATGTACAGCAACATATGTGAATGGTGAAGTCATGGCTTTTCCTGTATATATTATAATCACTCAAGGAAATTATATACAATTTTGATTTTATTTGTGAATATTCATGTTATGCATGAGTTTGCTCTAGTATTCCTCGCATCGTAATCATCCAGACTTCTCACTGCTTTCTCTAACCCCTTTAAACCTACTTCTCATCCATCCAGTTTACCATTACTTACGCAAATCCATTTCAAACCCATTCATGAAATATTTTTGACTAGGAATTATGCTAAGTCGTTAATTGCTATTGTAGATAATATCTAAGTCACCAGTTGCATATGGAAGGGTTTAGGTGACTCTTGAATTTATATCTGTACACCCAGTTATTTTCAATTCTTGAATGAACTAAAAATAACTGAACAGAAATTTCCAGGTAGAAGTTCAAGAGTCACCTAATGAAAAAAGTACTGAAATGAAAAATACTCAATTCTTTCAAAAAATAACGAAAACATCATGATGGCCTCTGAATCTCTTTTGTGAATCGCACATCTAGATCATAAGGAGGTGAACAAAAGTGGGCAAGCTCATTCATAACATTTCCAATTCACCTTTGTTCTTCCCTTATTAAGGCCCAGTAGCCCATGCCCATGTTTAAAAAAATGTTTTGAAATATGTTTTTTCTAAATTCTTTTACTCCATACACGCTCTTCCGGATGTTTAATAAACGAGAATAACACTCAGTTCTTTGCGAGTATTGCTGCAGTTCACATGTCAATAGCTAAAAGATACGCTCGGCAGTTACTTTATCTGCTTTATACTTGCACGCCATTTTTTACGGACCAACATTATCAGTGAACAGCTGATAGTCTATAAGCTGTGTTGATCAATGTTGTTATAGCAACTTTAGTTATCAAAACTTATAAGATGAACACCATAAATGGTACTATGTGCCAACATGGGATCGGGCTTATTCACGTCTTTCTTGTATACAGAATTCGTCAAAGTTTATTTGTAATGCCACAATTCACATAAATTATAGTATATAGAGTGTTACAAGACATTATACCGAAAGCAAGCAAGCAAGTAATTGAAATAGAAATTAACAGTCGAACATCTGAAGTCCATTCGATAGACTTCCGCCATAAGAAGAATTCAGAGACACAAATTCGTCTGTAAACCCAACAATAAAAATACGGCTGGAAACATAAGCACGGAAAGTCTTCAAATACGGAAGTCATTCGAAAATGGCTTTCTCCTCATTCGATGTAAGAAGATGAGTACCGTAGACATAATAAATGAAGAGATTCAAAAAAAGATGAGTGGGAAAAACTCAATACAACATCTGAATGGACCAAGCGGACAGAACCACCGATCTTAAGCATATTTTCAGTTATAATTCTAAATATAAATGCTCAGTAACTCCCGCATTCATTGATAAAGGTTTAAACAATGTCACTAGTTTTAAAAATAACCTAATACAGATTTTGAAATATCGAACCCATCACATTACATAACGCAGATGGTAATAAATGCACACACAACGTCAATCTTCCTTCTTGTCTCCACTCGCTTTCTGAAAAATATTACATGACTCGGACAGTCTATTTTCTGCAATTTTCACTCTTCGATGACTTTTACGAAGATCAAAAAAAAAATAGCACAAAAAAGTTCTTCGAAAGAACAGCAAAGAAATTAGAATCCAAGAGTGAATTAAAAGCACACATTAATGTTTATAATTAAACAAGCCGTTCTTCTACTCTCTCAAAATTGAATTAGCCATCAAGATTTAAAGAGACTGAAAAGCTTACCTCAGCCTGCTTAAGCAGGCCACAAACACGATCATATTCCCGCTGAAGACCCTCCGCTTGCTCCTTCATAGCATCTCTGTCCACTTGTGCTGATTTCAGTTCTTCAAAATCATTCAAGTACAAAGCATATAGTAATATTATTATTAGCAAGCAGGTTAAAGGAAGTGGCGTAACAGACTGTTATCAGCCACTTCTAAAAGTTCATATATGATCAAGTCTAATGGGCACTAACTATTAACACCCTCCGAATGCAAGAAAGAGATAAGCAATACCTTTGCCGAGCTCTTCAACCTGTCGCTCTAGTTCCTTTTCCTTTTCATTATCGTCATACTAAAACAAATGATCTTAGCTGGTGATGTTCAAATTCTTTCCTCCAGTAAAAGTTTGAAGGATAAGAATTGGAGACAGGAAGAGGAATAAAGGTAATTTTCACTTAAAATGAACATGCAAAATGATCTTTATGATATTCGACAATGTCAGTGTCGAATAGGCAGATATAACCTATATGAGTGTCGGATAAATGGGCAGAACGAATATACTCACACAGTCTACCCAACAAAGAGAATTGCCAATTTCTATGTACGGCAGTTATTCGTACCATGTAAGATTTTGCCGTTTTAGTTGCACTTTCAGCTTGCTTCATTGCAGCTTCAGCAGCAGCTTCAAGTAGTGCACCACGTGAAAGAAGTGCAACTAATCGTTTGATAACTCTAAAAAAAGAAAAAATCTCCAAGAAGAAAAAAGTATAGTTCCATATTATTTTCGTACAGATAGAAACTAAGAAACTACTTTAAGCTCTCAAAAGCAAATGATGCCAATGTCTATTACAATTTTTTAAAACTGCTCACAGAAAATATTTTCACATACTTTCAATAAAATTTCAAAAATAAACAAACAGAAAAAGTAAGAGTGCAAATCCAGAAATATAGAGATTTCGTTGTGCACGAAAAAGTCGCATGTGGACAACATTTTCTGAATCTGCAGTATGACGAATCGAAGCCTCTATTGCCACTTCACCTGCATATTTCCGCACTTCTCGAATAGCATCTAAAATAATTTTTCATATCACAAAATCAGTGAAATTATTTACAGGAGAGCATCCAATTTTCTCTGAAAAAGAATGCAAGCTTAACTTGCCGAAATGATTCCAAATGAATATAAAAAAGAGGAAAAAACCCAACCTGCAAAAAGAAGCAAAAGGATACAGAGTGTAGAAATAAAGTAAACATTTGCATGTTTTTCGAACGTTTTCACAATGCGACTTTTGAAGAATTTACTCCATCTGTAAAAAAATGAATTAGGAAAAATATTATCCATGCAGATTTATTTCAGAAAATAAGCGTTAGACTGACCAAGAATTTCTTTTCAAAAGACTCACAATGTTGGACGAATCCAAGGCAAGAGTAATAAAAGTACAACCGCTATTTCCAGATATAAAATCAATGCCACAACGAACCACTGAAGCGTCATTTTTCTGAAAACCAAACAATCATTTGCCAGCACAAACACACACACACACACACACACACACACACACACACACACACACACACACACAAACACAAAAATAAAATCCATCCATTCCCTCAAACTCAATCTAATGTTGAACTAATAGGAAAAAACATTCTGAATAAACCATAGTACAGTCAACAGTTAGGTAAAGTTAACTATCTTATTCAAAATCAGAGAAAATATAAATGCTCATGCAGATGCAGACACTGGTGACCTTTAAATATATGCGACCTCATCGTCAACAAGTAGAGCACTTTTTATACAGAAGCAGGAACAAATTTAATACAATACGAACCCAATGATGGATTAAAAAAGTCTTAGGAGAGACTGTAGATTTTCCGGTAGAGAGCACATAAGTGAATAACACATACATGAATATGGATAGAGTAAAATTAGAAATATATCAAACACATTCGCAATTACATAAACGAAAAGGGAGGAAATGACTGATGAAAAAAATGTACAAATTGACTTATGATTTACTGTGCTACAATTCAAATTCCTTATTCTTTAATAATGAGTCGGGAAAGGCACTCTATATAAACAAGATATCACTTGTGATTGAATTCTGAAACCAGTATATTCCAATTCCTAATTAAAAGGAACATCAATCACATCCACGACCGTTAATCATTCAGCTACTCTAAATTAAGACGACTATACGCCGTTATAGCAATACATTGTTATCACATTTTAACAGTAGTGATAAGCCCTACATCCTGATTCCTAACAAATCTTCGTGTTCAACGCAATTAATATTCGACGCCTTATTCACAAAATTTCTGGGTTAACTTTTAGAAAAGAATCTCTATTTACCAACTTCACCAATTAAAAATATCACAAGTAAAGCAATCAATCAGTTCAGTTATAATACCGGCCTTGAAACAGATCGACTAGAAATGAAAATATATAATATTTCGAAAATATCAGTTCTTGAAATATGAAAGATTTTGCAATTGTTGCTGATAGAGGATATTGTGCAAACGACATAAACATCAACTGTTTTGTTGAATATAGAAATTTAGAAATCTGGCACTTGAAAATGAAGTTAGTTCTTTTGCACCAAAAGATGGAGTTTAATTCATACGGACGATAAAGAGAAACAAAATGCATCCCACGCTTGAAAATAAGCCATATGAATAAAAATTTAAATCATAAAAATTCGTATTGCGTAATATGCAAGATTTCGAAAGAATTTTTACATGAAATTTAAGATTCCAAGGGATTTTCATATGTTTATATGTAAAGTTTCGAAAGTTTTTCTGAAACAAATTTTTCCAATATGTAAGCTCTAACGGAATTTCCACTTGGTTTTTATACCAAAACTTTTATCTTATCTGATAAACAAAAAAGATTTAAGAAAAAAGATTTATGAATTTTCAGTTGAAACGATTTCACTCTCGCCCCACATAAATTTGCTACTGTCCATTTGCATGGATACGAGTCCATTCCTGCGCTATACGAATTGCATCACTTTCGTTATTTTTCCACTGCTCTGCAACATCCGTTGCTAACGGATCGTCCGGATTTGGAGCTGAGAGTAAGGCCTGGATTGATAATAACACAGTACGAATTTGGAGCGCTGGAGACCATTTGTCTAAAAAAGACCTTGTCAAAAATTTTTGACTATACTAGTGAACAATCAAGTTCCCTAAAACGAAGCAAATAACAATTATCTTTTCATCTGATCCAACCTTTTCCTTATGACGTGAACGGAACGAAATAAGACCTATTCGAATGAAATTCCCGACAGAGAGTAACGATACAATTAAACCACTGCGTCTGATTCACTAGCTAGTTAATCTGTCGAATTATACAAAAATTTCAGCAGGTCCATCGCATAAAGCATGTTTTTAGTTTAGTGTTTTCAAAGTTAGCAAAAATTGTATCACTCGTTCAGATGGTTCTGCAGTTTCGTGTTCTTCGTCAACTTCTTTATTCCAGTATTCCGTTCTCTTCACTACGTTTTCTTGTAGGTCAATCAAGCAAAGTAAGCAAAGCAGTCACTTTGCTTAGTTTTATCATCAAAATGAGTGATAATTATTGCATGTTGATGCATTTTTCTTCTGACTGAGATGGAAATAATTAACCCGCTCATTCGGTCAGAAGTTTCGTTTTCTATATGGTTATGAAAAGATATCTCAAACATTCTTCCATCACCCATCATGTATTTCACACATATGCAAACCTTTGAGAATATCGAGACATATTCGCCCCAATTTATCGATATTCGGATGATATATTTTGGTCATGAAACGGACTTTTGGTGCTGCCATTGGATATTCTTCAGGTAGAAAAAGTTCCAACTTGAATACTCCACCAGCAAATGGACTACCTTCTGGTCCAGCAATAATTACATGGAAATAACGTGCATTGTTGTCATCCGGTACAGCCGAAATTCCAGGAACAGGATCTGCCATCAGACGTTGCGTCTCTTTCGTAATACGTCGTGGTAATGCGCCTGCCATATTGGATCCTATTGAACGATGAAACAGAACCCTGAAACTACAGCACTACTTTGTATTCCATTCTAACATGCACTTTTCCAATCGAAACGTCCTCTCAACTCCATATGCCTCTATTCCACAGATGCTACCCACTAGCTTAACATCCTTTAATCTGAGTGGCAAAAAAACTACTAAAAAAAACCTCCTGAAAAAGATCACCCTCAACCAAACACTAAATCAATGTATTCAACATAACACTTCCCAGTAACTATCACTAATATTTAAAAATAAGTAGCTTCTTCTACTAAATCTACTTAAATATCAACTCATTATCTTCATATATCTTATGAATGACTGTAAGATCTTTTTATGAAAAATAAAAGGGTGAAAAAACCAAAGGAAAATAGGACAAAAGTTAAATAAGACTATTTTATTTTATCAAAGCAAAAATAACGAAGACAACAACAGATCTTATCTGAAAATAATTTGATTTAAAAAATATCACAGTTCATTTTTCACATATTTTGGTTTCGTTTCTACAACCTTAGCTATATATTCTGATTTTTCAGTGCATCCCTTGCATTCCTGAAATTATCCAAAAATTATGAATAATAAACAACTTTTCGTAATGATGTATATCTACTGAAAATAAGGAATTACTGCCTTTTATAACTTCCTAGAAGAAACAATTCATGCTTACAGAAAATGATAGCTCGTAATTTGAAAAAAAATATTCGAACGTACCTCGCCCCAGCCATCAAGAATTTTCTTCAATTCTTTAACTCTTAGCTTCTTAAGATCCACCGTTTTCCAATCAATACTCTTATCTGGAAAATATTCAAGGGTGATCCATTCTATAATTGCCGTAAATCTAAAAATTCAAAATTTGTTCCAGTCTTTTTCTCTCCCAAAGAACATATATCAAATAGTGCTTATCCTTAAATTATGTATTACCATTTCACTTGAAAAATATAAGAGCATTACCGAATTTCAATTCACAAATCTGTGAATCCATTGTGCGCAACTTTTCGCAAACTTTCGTCACTGGCATAGACCATGATAATGGTTTTACTACATCATTCATAATAGAAGTAGCAGATTCAGGCACAGCACCAATATAAAAACACTGAAACGACTTAGTATAAAGGACCAAATTTTAAAATCAATCAGAATTTCTTATCTAAAACTTAGATAAATATTTTGAATCTAAAGATTTCATTGCAAACACGTATTCTGTTAATAGTTCATAAAAGATCAAAATAAATTCATTCTATGATTTCTCGGGCAAGAACATTCAATCGTATGCTAAATCCAGATAATACAATCTTTTAAATTAAAGCAAAACGGACAAATTTGTTCTCCTTTCCTTTTGTTCCACCGCAGTGTTCCCTCAGCGCCTCATCAATTCTGTTTGCATCAGTGCGATCACTCGCCGCAATACTGTCGACCACATCACTTAAAACTTTCTCACATACTGCAAAAAAAAAAACTTATTTTTTGTCAAAGTTACAAATCCCTGAAAACTGAACGAAAGTAAATAAAGTATATAAATCGAATCACACTTCACAGCCCAAATTATTTCCCCATCTCTTAACACTCTAATCATGTCAATATATGCTGCATCGTAAATGCTTCGAATCGAACTCCTCAACAGCTTCGTTTTTCATTTCCACTTGCACAGCTACAAAATACCCAATATCTTTAACACTTCGCTTTATTGCACACTTCTATTATCACTAATGATACCAAACCTTCACATGACTCTTGTCGTTTAGCATGCAAAAGATATGGTATGAATAAGGAAACAAGTAACTTAACTGTCCACATCATATCTGAAAATAATGTAATTAAACAGTTTACTTCATACATTTACTTGTAAATGTGTGAAGTTTTGATTTCAACATATCCTAACATAACATTTCAAAAAACATTAACACAGAAAATACACAATACAACCGATACTTAATGATACATTACGGACAAATAAACGCTTAGACCATTTTTTTTTTTGGTGACGGTGAAGTATGCGTGGCTTAACCGATCTGATCATGAAGCCTCGATATGCAATCTTTTCATCCCATGCTAATAATATAATCAATGAGTGTATCGATAACTTTCATGCGCTACTTTACCGTTTTATTGTTTTTCTTCTTTTTTTATAGGATATATTAATCGATCATTCTATTTTGAATTATAAATGAATGATTCATCTCTTGTTGAACTTGTTTCAAGAATTAAACGTTTCGGATTTTGCATCCGGAAAAATGAGATAAAACATTGAACAAGTAGATTGTGGTTCCGATTAGACCTAAAAGTAATTTCTTGTTTCAAGAGGATTTGAATAATGCTAAAATATTTATCTGATACTTTTATTACACAATCATTTTTAGTATTATTAAATTTCAGATAATATTATGTTTGCATTTTCTTTCGTGAAAATTTCAAAATATGAAATTTCATTTATTATTTCTCGAATAATGTAATGCAACCATCTTTTCATTTTACGCTTATAACATATTCATATGCATA